ATGTATCCGATCTCGAACTTACAAATCACCGGTTTGTTCAGCTCCTCTATCTTGAAGCCAACATAAATTTTTGTATTCATCAAATACAACATTGCGTTTCTATCTACAGAGAGGATTTTCGTACCTGCCATGGATCTGTTGTTCGCAATCAGTACCACAGCCACAGACTCGAAGGAGAACTTTGCTTACACACAAGAGGTCATTTACAAGATCATCGAAAAATATGGCATTAGGAAGATTAAGTATAGCTTGCTAACATTCGGCCAAAAGGCGTACGTACATTTTAAATTTAATTTTATCTCTGATGAGGTAAACAGGCTGAAAAATGCCATCAGTCGGAGCAAAATGAAGGATCTCAGTGGCGTATCTCTGCAAGATGCAATGGAAGAAGCAAGAGAAGTATTTGAAGAAGCTGAAGGTTGGTACTCACACGGTATTGAATTGCAAACATTTGTAAAACATGTCGTTGAATACTAAGCGTAAGTGAGTATAATTGTTTAGGGTACAATCAGAATGAGTACAGAAAACAATACGGCAAAGAAATCTAGTGTAGTCGTGATAGAAATGACAGTTGTCATCAGACTTTATTGTGGCTTCGCAACCGTGTTTGGTGTCTTCACGTATGCGCCCTGCTCTCTGGAGAGGAACGTGTAGCGTGACATGACCAAACAAAGGCTGCGTAGAGGTGGATACTTTCGTCATAATGTCTTACTCAGGTTCGGGACGAGAAAAGTTCTTTGCTTATAAATCATGGCTGACACTTTTTGTCACTGTGTGAGACGCACAGACCTAAAAGATAACCCGCTGGAGAGGAGATTTCTGGGTTCAAGATATTGAATATTTGTGTACGGCATACCTGTCATGATCTATCATCCCCTTCCCGTGGAATTAGGTCACGTCGAGCTATGGAAAAGGGGATAAGCTTAAGTGAAGCTATGAAAAAGGGGATAGACAAAGACGGTGTTTGCCGCCTTTATATTGTTTAGGACTTAACTCCAAACTTTTTAAAAAACACACAGGTCGCCGACCGGATGCCAAGAAAGTACTTGTCGTGATTATCGACAAAAAGTCAGACAATACCATAGAGGAGGTTAGAAATGCCGCCGCTTTGCTGGAAGGTTACAAAATCCGTGTCATCCCTGTGGCACTTGGCCGAGAAGCAGATGTTGAAGAACTCACAAATACAACACTTGATAAGAACGATCTGGTGAAAGCCGACAAAGACAGAGACTCGGAGAAAACTGCAGAGGAGATTATTATGAGAGCTAGTAAGTTTGTGTTCACTTAATGTTTTAAAATCCTGTGCACTTTGGGGCGGCTGGTATGTTAGTTTATGATGAGCACAGCTGAGGGCAAATGTGAAATAGGAAATAATCGGGGGAGAATATCGATGTAGACGGGGGTTATTTCGTGATAACTGTCCGATGATTTTGCACCGCATAACGTAAAATGGCCAATAGAATCGCGCGAAAGTTAATGGGTGTGGGTTATAATCTGTTTTAAATCACTACATTTTTCTTAGCAAGATTGTAATCTTACGTTACTCTGACATAAATCTTTCTCGCGACAAGAGAGGAGCGGGGATGATGATGATGCGAGCCCTCGTCTCTTTCGTTTTTGTTCAGCTCTCCTTGGGGTCCAATTCTTCGTAAAGGACTAGGTTTTTTGTTGTCCAATCCTCGTGACAAAAAGTCACCTAATAACTTTACCCTGAGGATTCCCAACATGATCGCGGTATAATTTACCGTCTAGTTCCCTGTAGCTTTGTGGTACAATATTGGAGGCAGATCCTGATGAAATCCTAAAGTTTTGAGTTTGACTACCCGTGAAGACCCACGCACACGATAAAACGAATAAAATCTTTCCTCATTCGAAGGACGACCATGCTAAAATTTACCGTATTTCTTGTTCTGTGTGATTAGCTATAACCAGTTTTATTGGACGTGTGCACGTTACATTTTCGGTCATTATTATTACATTGACGGAGTATTTCTCTTTCTAACTTACAGAAGGACAAGCTATTCCAGAAATGGACATTTGCTTCGCCTTTGGCACATCTGATTCCAATGCGGATAAAACGTACAAGAAAATGCAGGAAGCAGTGAAACACATGATCGAAAAGTACAAAGATCATGATCAAATTCGCTTCGCTATCCTTCCTTTTGGAACAAATCCTTCTTCTGTACGAGGTTTTAGAGACCAGTCGGGCGATGCAGACGGTTTGATTAGATTTGTGACAGCCATTCCTCGACCGCGCGGACGGCCGGACGTAGTGAAGGCGTTGGATAGAGCAGAACAGTTGTTCGAGGTTGCATCACCAAGACCGAGAGCTAAGAAATTCTTAGTTGTGTTTGTTGGAAGCAAATCAGGGAACGATTTGGAAATGTTGAAGAAGACTGCAAAACCTCTGGAAGACAAAGGTGTGAAAGTGGTAGCAGTGGCCGTTGGATCGGAATCAGATCCTGATGAGCTCATCAAAGTCGTGCCTAACAATGGAAACCTAATAAAGGCCAAGGAAAGTTTTGAAGCCCCAGACAAGTTGGGAAACGAAGTTATGATTATCGTACTTAAAGGTAAGGATTTTTGTTCAGGACCGAAAATTTGACTGTAGGTAAATAGGGTATTTCAAGTTTACTTTTAGACGCTGCGTAAAGTAATGTTACTGTTATGAGTATTTTTTAAAAGTGATTATGAAGGTAATGGAAATTTAGCAGTGGACATTGCACAAGGTGTTTCTTGTTGTCCACTGTTTCCAGGTCGAATTGAAGTTTGGAATGTTGGTTTTTGCGGAGGGAGGAACACCGGATGAACCGGATGAACCTAATGAATTGGAGAACAAACAACAAACTCAACCCACATGTGATGTATCACATGTGACGCGTCACTACGCCATCCACGCTGCTCTCTTATCATGATAATTTCTGTGTTTCTTTTGTAGATTTGCCGATCATACCAGAGGTTGACCTGGCCTTTGCCATCAGTGCCAACGCTGTACAGTCACGTACCAACTTTCAAAAGATGAAGGATGTTGTTAGCCAGATAGTAGAGATGTATGGCCAAGAGAGAGTATTGTACAGTATATTGGTCTACGGCTCTGTCCCAGACGTAAAGATCCAGTTCAATCAGCGACGAACAGATGACCAGTTGGTGACTTTTATTAAGAATATAAATCGAGTATCTGGTTCTGCATTGGGCCCTACGCTGGATAAAGCCAAGGAAGCATTTAATCAATATGGGCGTCCTGGAGCGAGGAAGGTTTTAGTGGTAATAACAGATAGGAAATCTGATAGCGATGCTAAAGTCTTGCAGGAGAAGGCGTCTCTACTGGAACAAGCTAAAATCAAAGTAATACCTGTAGGTTTGGGAAGTGAAATTGATAAAACAGAACTGCAAATTTTAACTCCACGAGAGAAAGACATCATTACAAAACCAAATACGGTTTCCACAGAGTATTTGGTGGACGTAATCATGAGGAAGGGTTTGGAAGGTATTTCATTTTTCCTATTATCGTATCTTTGCCTTTCAGGAGTAATTCCACGTGGAATAAAAACATGTTTCCATATTACATCAGAGTTACATTCATTCTGATCCGACGATCTGTCTGTCGATCAGTCGGTGTGTCTCTAAGGCTCTCATTCTTATGCCTTTCTTGCGTTCCAGTCAGTACGTTCGTCTGTCTGTCTCTACGCCATCTTTTTCCCCTAGTCTGTCCGTCTGTTTATCTACCTATCTCCCTGACTGTCTGTCCCTATGTCAGTCCATTTGTCTGTCTGTATGTCTGTCCGTGTGTGTGTCTGTCTACAGTCCGTCTGTCTGCCTGTCAGTCTATGGTCCGTCTATGCCCTGCCCTCTCTCTGTCTCTCTTTGTCGTTCCCTGGTCCTTCCCGTCAATTTTCTTTACTTCTTCATTATTTGCCCTTTTTGCGTTCAATTTTTAGACTATTACTTTTGCTTAGTCTTTTGAAACATACTGTTACTCGTTTTTTTTCCTTTCCTTGTTCGCCCATCAGAAACACTTTTCGTCCCGGAAATGGACCTCGCTTTTGTCATCAGCACGACTGCTGTGGATAAGGACAAAAATCTCGAAGCAACTAAAGAAATCATCAAGAAAACCGTGCAAACCTTCGGCCTGTCTCGAGTCCGGTACAGCCTAATTACATTTGGTGCCATACCTGTGGTCAAAATAAGATTCGACAACGTCTTCGCCAGTGAGGAAGATCTTGTCAAGATCGTTGACAACGTCAAGAAAGATGTGGGTGCCGCTTCTCTCGAAAAAGCCTTGGAAGAGACTAGATATCTCTTCGCGTTAGCTGAGGATGCCAGACCTGATGCCAAGAGGGTTGTTGTGGTCATCACTGACAAAAAGTCTGACAGCACTGAAGAGTCTGTACGAGCTGCCTCTCAGAAGCTGAGGAATGATGGCGTCCGCCTGATCGCCATTGTACTTGGCAATGAGTTTGATCCGGTCTCGCCGGAGGTCATCAAGCCGGAAGAAGAACAACTTCCCAAGGAGACAGCGAAGGAGTTATTGATGGTAGTCTTAAATGGTACGCTCAAATTTCAAGTCTTGTCTCTGTAGCTCAGTGGTAGAGCGTCGGTGCGCGAGATCCAAAGGTCTAATGTTCAATTTCTCACGGGGACTAAATTTTTTTTTTGGTCCCACGCCCTTGATAAGACGGAAAAACATCATAATTACTTGATTTTTATTTTTGCATTCTATTTATTTTTGTTCAGTTATTGCTCCGTAAACTGACCAGGGGCCCGTTCCTCGAAGGTCCCAGTAGGTTAACGAGCCCGTAACGCTGTTCTATTTTCATTTAAAGTCGGGGTTTCAAAAGTTTAAAAATAGCACTATTTAAATATCAGATAAAGAAACAAGAATTTGATTTGAAAATTTGGTTTCGGGCCCGCAAAGTTACGGGACTTTCGAGAAACGCGCTCCAGGATCAAGTTGATATTAAACAGAGAAAGAAAGAGATAGGAATGTATTATAACAAACGCGAATTATTACAAGAAAAAGAGGTTTCTTTCTGGCCTTTGGGACGTCCTTCACAAATGTTTCATGCATAGCCTTTCCGACAGTGTTGAGTAAAGGTGAATTCCTTTGTATTTACTGCAAAGCAAGGCTATGGTTCAGTACCAGGGGAAACGCTATCCACTGTGTGGTTGTGTCAGGTAATTAAATTTCTTACGTAACTTTGATGTTGATTTATTCCAACTGTCCTCTAAAAATGTATTTGTTTCATGACATTTCCTTTCCAGAATACGTCGTTACAGAGAAGATCGACCTTGGCTTTGCTTTAAGTGCCACAGCATTAAATGCAAGAGAAACGTTCGCTAAGATGAAAGAAACTGTGAAATCCATAATCAAGAAGTACACTGTTGGAAACCTTCGTTACGCTGTTATTGTTTACGGCTCCGATGCAAAAGTACTTCTTAGCTTCGAGAGGAATTTCCCTGCTCTGGAGAATTGGCTGAGTTCTGTTGACAACATGCGGATTGAGCAAGGAGGGCCCGCTCTGGAGAAGGCTTTACAGAAGGCCAGGGTGTTGTTCCAGTCAAGTGGTCGTAAAGATGCTAAAAAAGTACTGGTGGTGATTGCAGACAAATCACCCATTGGAGATAGCGGTGAAACTGGGAAGGAGGCACTAGAACTGGAGTACGCTAATGTTAAGATCGTGCCCGTTGCTTTTGGCGGTGATATTGATGCTAAGGAAATCAAGGATATCTCACCGTATAAAGACGTGCTCGTTGTCGTGCGCAATGATGTCGACCCAACCGAACTTGGCTACTCTGTGATGGAAAAAGTTCTGAAAGGTAAACCAACTCCCTTTCTTCACAGCTTTTTTCTGGAAAGCTGCTTCAGTGAATAACAATCATATGAAATAAATTATTTTTATTCTAACTTATACCATTTAAAATACTCTTGAGATCGAAAAATTCTGTTGCCTTTGTTTTGCTGATATAAATCATGGTAAAATGTCTATTTATGTGTTAATCCAATTGTGATCTTTTTCTAGTATACCGATACTGTGTAGAGTCAAACATTAGTTCTACATCCTTTCTATTTTTCCATTTCCAGTCACACCTAAAATACCCAAGGTGGATCTCGCCTTCGCAATCAGTGCCTTACCAAGGGACCGTAATTTTGGATTGATCCTGGACATTGTAAAGGAAGTAACAGAGAGATTTTTCAGCGACCGTGTCCAATACGGTTTGATTGTGTTTGGTAGAGATGCCTTCATAAGGATTCACTTCAGAGATAAATATCGGGACCCTAAAAAGTTGCAGACTTTCATTGGCTCAGTCGCTTCCAACGATGACGAGCCAGCTCTCGATAAGGCGCTCATTAAGGCTAAGCTTTTGTTTGAAAGTGAGTTTGCCCGGAAAGATGCACAAAAGGTGGGTATCCTTGGTTTTTTTTCCTCTTTTTCTTTCTTTCTTTCTTTCTTGTTATCTGTTCACTTGTCCTTTTCGCATAAATGAACGCGCTAGGTCTCAGGCAAAAAAAAAAAGAGAAAAAAAGATAAACAGAAAGCGCCCCTTCTGTGCCTAGCTTTTAGCGCGGCAATTTTTGCCGTGTGCGTTGAGCTCAACTTAACATGGACTTTCTGACAATGCAGTTTGCCATGAGATGCAACTACTCTCTTAAGTCCGTAGGGAAAACTGAAAGTAGTTGAGGTAATTGAATTTTTTAATGTAACTTTTTTTTACTACTGCACTCAACAATGGTGGGTAATATCACTGTTATTTACCGTCGTTGTAGGTTCTTGTTGTTATCATGGATACTTTCACTGGTCGTAACAAGCCAGCCATCATGGAAGCTGCAAAAGACCTGGTGGACAGCTCCGTAGTTGTCATCCCAGTTGCTATCGGTAACAGGCCTGTTCCTGACTTCGAAAAGGAGTTTCCGGATGAGGAAGTCATCAAAACCAAAGACAAAGACCATCCTATTAAAACCGCTGATAAGATAGAGGAGATACTCGTTAGTGGTAAGTAGGGGAGTTAAGTTAAGGAACTATAATGCTGCGTTGGTGGGAATGGAGGGAATGGTGGGAATGGTGGGTATAGTGCAAAATAATTTGCTTTTATCAACTGGGTTCATTGTGAAAATTGGCCACTGTACAGAGCTTCCGTAGAAAACCTGGGTGTCGGGAATTTAAACACATCAATCTTCAGAAACTCAAATGCCTGCCGGGGGGGGGGAGGAAGTATGTTGAAGCTTCGAATCGATCGATTCATTAAGTCTTATTTCTCTGACGTTTGACCTCCATGGCTATTGGCTCTTTCAAAGTTTATTTTTGTATCGCAATGGAATTTTCCTTGAGGCGCTGATGGTGTCAGTCTATTACCACGTAGCTACTTTTGAAAGGATCTTTTTGAGAAGAGTGACGTAGTTTTTTTGCTCTAAATATCCCTCAGAAAGTTCTTTTATTTTCTTGCAGGTATCACCACGTTTACCAGACTGGACATTTCATTTATAGTCAGCACGACTTCCGTGGATGCCGAAGAAAATTTTAAACTCGTCAAATCCACAATCGACTCCATAATCGAACGACATGGCGTCAAAAAACACCTGTACAGCTTGATGACCTTTGGTCAAAGATCCAACATAGTCTTTCCGTTCCAAAAGACCGATAAAGAGTCTTTGTTAACTCTTATACAAGGCGCCAGGTTACCCAGTGGTTCACCTGATCTGGTAAACGCTCTCAAAGACGCAAAATATCTGTTTTTCCAACCAAGTGGAGGCGCACGACCAGATTCCAGGAAGGTTATCATAGTTATGATCGACCGGAAGTCTGTTAACACCGGAAGTAACATCGAAAAGATTGTAGGTGATTTTGAAGACGGAAAGGTTAGGTTTGTTACTGTGGTCATTGGAAAGAACGCTGGCCCAGATGAGCTTATACCACTGGCTCCAGACAAGGATAAAACAAACATAGTGTATACGGATAAAGATGGCGTCCCATCAATAGTTGGAAAGAAGATTATGGTGCTGATAACTTTGGGTAAATATTACAGAGATATTGAGTTTGTACATAGTGTATGGTCTCCTTTTGCGCTTTTTCGTGTCTTCTCATAATTCGTTCTCATGGGGAGAGAGCACGTCACGTTATGAGGTAGAAAATGACTGCCAAGGCTTGTAAAACTTGCCGGTGCTTAAAATTTTTTGCATTTAATCACTTTGTTCTCACTGGGTCCTTGTTATCTTTACCTTTGTTCTGATCAGTGGTGGATCTAGGCCGAGGGGTCGTCGTGTCTAGTGTCCATCCCCATCAGAACTGTAGGTTTTTTTTTCTAATGGTCTGACAATACAATGCGTGCAATAATAGGAGTACATGTCACTACTCAATGTGAACTTTCTAAAATCTACATTACCGTATATGTATTTCTTTGCTTATTTAGACTTTGGTGTAAACGATTTGTATGTGTTCTAAGAATAAGAGTTTTGAACCCCTCCCCCCACCCCACCTCCCATCAAATTGTCCTGGATCTGCCTCTTCTGATAGACCCTTGTGATTATTTTGATTTTGGTTTTACCACACCCAGTATGCAAAGTATGTTGAGGTCTGAAGGAAAAAAACTTGCATGTCATCTTTCACGGCATCTCGATCTAGTGAGACAATAACTAAAAGTAGTTGGAGGGTAAAGGAGGAAAGATCAGAAACACTGATGTGGAAGAAGAGAAAGAAGGCCGTAGTTTTACCAAGTCTAGGCTATTGGCTGTGAAATATTACTTGTCTGTCACTGTAATGGATATCGTGGCGAAAAAGGACCTATAACCGGCCTCTCCTCATGAGTCACATGGGTTTTTTCCTAACCCTGCTAATCCAGTAATCGAATTATTATTATTGTTGCAGCTCTTTCTGATCCATGTCTGGTTACCACGTGTGATTTTGATGCCAAATGTGTTAAGTTAGCAAATGGTTCGACCGAGTGTGTGTGCCGTGATGATTGTCCTCAGACATACACTCCTGTATGTGCCAGTGATGAACGCACGTACCCTAACAACTGCAGCATGATATTCGAAGCTTGCAGGACGCAGACGATGCTCACAGTTGTAAAGGAGGGTGTCTGTGAAGGTATCGAAACCTGTTACACTTAGTCTATCTACCATTAAGAGCAGTTTTCAATCGATTTTCGAAAATAACCTTGGATTGCTTTGGTTTTACTTCACTCGCTTCGTGATTGGTCCAGAAACTCGCGCCTCTTTTATAACCAATCAGATCCAAAATTTGATCACACGTGTTATTCTACGTTTTAGGTGGTTTGCTTTTTTACTTTGAGTTTCTTTATTAATTGTTAGAAATCGTTAATCTAAGTCGTATTAGGTGTGAAATTCTTTTTTCTGGTGGATTATCGTGTTCGTTATGTCATGATTATTTTATTATTGTTTTTTTTTTGTTGTAGCTTGTAGCAACCGGGTCGATTTGCTCTTTGTCCTGGATGGAGGCAACCTTGAGGTCAAGAAGAACTTCATAGAGGCAGTCATCGATAAATTTAACATCGGTCCTAACGATACACGAGTAGGAATGGTGCTGTCAGATGCAGATGACTTTTACTTGATATCATTCAATGATACTCAAAGTGCAGACTTGGTCAAACTCGACATTGATAGCGTCAGCGATGTGGGTTCATCCTCAGGCATTACTCTTGGTTTACAGGAAGCCTTGGAAGCGATAAAAGACAGGAGAGTCGACGTCAAACAGGTCAGACTTTTTAACTATTATTTTTTGGTTATTGTGAAGCGCATGTGATCATGCTTACATGGAGTTTGCACCATACAAATAATAATTATTAAAAATTGATAACGGTTGATTATGAATTATCATCATTATTTTCATCATCATTACTATAATTATTATTATTACTACTATTATTATAATTATGATTATGATTATTATGATTATTATTATCATTATTGTTATTAGTGTAAAGTTTCGTTAATTGCGAGCAGTCTTTTGCTAGCCGTAATTTCCGTGTCATTTCGATTAAGTTTTTAACATTCCGTCGACTCTGTTATAAAAGCTGCAAGGGAAAATTTTATTAGAAGCTGGGAAACGTAAAGATTTGTGCGAAAATTATTAGAGTGTGACTGAAGAGCATAACTCGTTTCTTCTATTTTAATCCCTTTAATTTCTGACGTCTAAGAAAAAAATTGTGCTTTAACGATATGAATCTAAAATTCATTCTGGTAGCATATTTCAAGGTACTGTGCCTATGAAACTGTTAAAATGATTGCACTAACTTGAGGAACCGTTGTAGCAGACCAGCTCACGCTTACAAATGTTGATGAGGCCCTACGTCATCGTGTCGTATTGTAAACTTTGATTCTTTCTTTCACGTTTATAGGCCGTGGTTGTGATCATGGATCAATTGGAAAACAACATGAATTTGCTGCTACAAAGATCAGGGACCCTGAAGGCACATGATGCAATAGTTTACTCTGTAGGGGTGGGAAGTGGCATGGATGATTCTAGAGTCAAGAGAGTAGCATCTAAAGATGACTACGCCTTCTATGCTCCTTCCCTTAGTGAACTCATGTCTGTGGCACCGTTGATTTCTGAAAAAATTTGTCCGTTGAAGGGTAAGTAGGTAGAAGATGTTACTTATTTCTAAGAAGGTGGAGGATATTCCATTTGTCTAAGGTAATATTTGTGCAGGTGATATCTTATTCCTCTAGTGCAGTGGTCCTTTACAATATTTTGTGTTGTTCGAGGTCTTCAAGGACACCCTCATGAAAACCACTTCTAGGTGATCGGAGGTCTCTTCGTACGTTATTTGTTAGTATGATGGTATAATTTTAAGTCGTTTGTATGGAAATCGTAAGAAATTAGTCTTCTTGGGTATAAGAACCTGAACGAGGGTGAAATATATTGAGAGAAGGACGGTTAACTTCTTGGTCAGGCTGGTTTGCCACACTTGAAAATGAGCACTTGAATTGTAATGAAAAACCCACGAATTGTTGCCTGGGGCAATGTTGAACTTCATATCAGCCTGCTTTGCTCTTGTTTCGTGCACAAGGGACAAGTGATTACTTCTTTCTTTCATTTTTCAGTGGTCATCAGTTTCCCAGTTGACATTGCGTTCGCCATCTCTGCAACGAGTGCCAGAGCCAACGAATTATACGACTACATGCTCGACGTCATCAAACTTATCGTGGATAATTACGGCATGTACACAGTACATTATGCATTCATGGTGTTTGGCGACGACACTGATGTACGAATACGCTTTGGCGATGCATTTAACAGCCCTGACCAACTCAAGTTTGTAATGGAAAATATCCCAAGAATCGGTGGACAGCCGAACTTGGAGAAAGCGCTCGAGAAGGCTACAGAGATTTTCCGACCCGGATACAAAGGAGAGAGACCCGGTGTGCGTAAGTTCTTGGTAGTGATTGTGGACAAGGACACTGTGGGAGACGTGACTCGGTATGCAAAGAGTTTAGAAAACACAGGAATAAAGGTAGGAGCGATTTGTCAAGCTAGGATAGGCTCCCAAATTATAAAATGTGCCTATATTTAAGTTTTTTTTAATAGACTGAACACACTGTGTATTTTTTCCGAGAAACTAGGAGACCAAAAGTGTAACTTACACAAGTACTTTTCTATCGTATGCAAATTTATCCATATCTAGGTAAGCTAGGTAAGAAACGACTTAACTGTTTGGGTACGAAACGTCCTAGCTGAGTACGAAACGATGGATACGAAACGACCGTGGATACGAAACGACCGGTAACTGTCGGCAGAAGGGCTGACTCGACTCATTATTTACTGGTACACATCGGCAGATCGGGCTCTCTTTGTGGTCATTCAACGTGGGCTTCAAATCAAATCGGGATCTTGAAGACAGGCCTTTGGATGCAAGGCTCAAGTAAACACTAACAATAACTAAAAATGAGAAGTTACAAATGACTTTCTGTTATTTGTACTTGTACTACCCAAGCTAACAATTTTATTTTTTAATTGAAGGTAATCCCAGTTGCTATTGGACGGGAAGTCGGACCGGGAGGCATCATAATCCCACCTTACAAAGTAATCGTAGATCCTAAACCTGATGTGGACAAACCGGATATACTGGTTCAAAATATAACTAAAGCAATTATTATCGGTAAGAGAGAGGCTCGGCACGTCTTTAGCTATTCCTACTCATGAACTTACTCATGAACAAAAGAGCTATTGCTAAAGTTATTTGGATATCTTACGCTTTACAACTTATTTCTAACCCGTTAGCTTACTGTAAGTGATTTCCCTTACTGTCCTTCGTTTTCTTTGCTGAGGCTACTCAAAATGTCTGTCTTACTTCTTTCCCTACCTCTCATCCCTCTCGAATAATTTTTATTTTCAAGCGAGTCTCGTAAGAATTGTGGGATTGTAATGGTTTTACTTCACTGCGCTGTTTGATGGGTCAAGAAAACTCTAGCCACCAGTCCTACCCAACCAAATCCTTTGCAAAACGTTAACTAGTCGAGACTTGGTCATTTGCTTTTCTGCTTGGTTACATCCATTTACACTCGTATTTCTCATTGGCTTTTTTTTAAACATTCATCTCCACTTTGAAAGGCTATTACGTTTATCGTATTCAGCCGAAATTATCTCCAAACATTCTTTGAACCTCTGATGAGTATTTCCTTTTGCAGTTTTGGTCTGTCGTCTTCTTTTCTTTTAGGTGATTGTCTTTTAACCAAATGTGCGCACTACGCCAACTGTGTTCCCCAAAGGGATGGTACGGCGTTTTGCTCGTGCTCTCTTCTCTGTTCTTCATCTTTTCTTCCTGTTTGCGGATCTAACTCAAGGACTTATTGGAATGAGTGTTTTCTTAGGAGAGAGGCTTGTTTCATGCAACAAAATACTTCAGTTGCTTCTCTTAAACGCTGTAGTAAGTTCTCTTACATTCCACTTGTTACATCCTCTAACGACTCTTCTACTAAATGTTTTCTTCTTTCCAGGTGCAAAATCATTTTATCATATACCTCTCTAGCTCCTGTTTATTTTGTTTCGTCTCTAGACGTCCACAAAGTACAGAAGTCTAACTCTATATGGTTTGACTGGTGGCCTCTGTTTTTTTTAACGAAACTTCGGTTGTTTCATTTATTCTTTTGCGATCCTATTGCATTTGAAAATTTTCAAAAGTCTGTCAATTTCTAATTCACTTTGCTGTCTCTTCTTTATCTAAGTTTTCCTTCTTCTGTCTTTTCTCTCTCCTCTTTACATTTACAAGAACAAACTCCTTGTTCTGGAGTCAAATGCCCCTTTTACGGCACTTGTCAGCTTAAGGATGATAAAACCCAATACTGCGCATGCACCAGTTCTTGTCACGACATCTACAAGCCGGTGTGCGGCAGTGATGGAAAATCGTATTTGAATGAGTGTTTTCTTCGCCGTCACGCTTGTGCTACGGAGAAGCAAATCAGTGTTAAGTACAGTGGCCTTTGTAGTAAGTCCTAATCTTTTTGGTTAACTTTCCTTTGATGTTGCACTTGAAAATTACTTTACTCTAACTTAGCTGTAGATAAAATGTTGGTGGATTATTTTAACCAATTTTCTTGGCTGTCTCCAATGTTAACGATGTGATGAGGTATGAAACGTCACTCATTCAAGCTTTCCGTCAGAGTCATGCCAGCAATGCCAACATCTAATAGTTACTGTAAACTGTAATCTGTAAGCAAAGTCAGTAGAGGTGAATGGTCAGGAAACCCCACTGATATCTTTGTCGGGTGTTTTATCGGTTTTTTGTTTTGTTTTGTTTTGTTTTTTTTAGCTGATATTGCATAACGTTCTATATCATTCCAATCAGTATTTTGTTAACTGACTTCCTAGAACCTTCCTATCTATTAAAGCAGTCGCAAAGCGCGAACACAAATCCAGTTTTGCACCAGTAAGAAGCTGCAAATATCAACTACCACATCAGTATTGTTACCTCCACTCACTAAAAATATGCCGTAGAACTTTCATCAATGAGCAACGTAGGATGCAAGAGGCCTCGAAAAAATCGTTACCTTGAGGACGTCAAGCAGAATGGTGTGCTTCTATTTTATCGATAAAAAGAAAAATATCGATTTTATTCTGAATCACTATTTGATTTTTTTGATTGAGGGAGTACATCGCTGACCCTCTGGCCGTGTTTTTTTTGCTGTAGATCCATGTGAAGACGTCGTATGTGACTACAACGCTGAGTGCCGAGCCTTGCCCAATGACACCGCTCTCTGTCAATGTCTGGATGACTGTTCAGCGGAACCTTTTAAACCAGTTTGTGGAAGTGACTTGGTGACGTACGCAAGTGAATGTGCTCTAAAAGGGAAGGCTTGTAAGAATGAAATGGCGATTAGTGTGGTGTCAGAGGGAATCTGTCGTGAGTATTTGAAGACGCTTCTTCACCTTTTTGTTTGATTGGTTTGGGAGAATGGTTTAGAAGGAATTTGATTTATTGTTTCTACTTTTTAGTTCATCTTTTCTTAATCTAGCGGGGGTGGGAAAGGGGGAAGGAGGAGGAGCTGTTGAATTTGTTGCAGTTTTAAAAAATATTGAAAATATTAGTTTGAAGACTGTAATATAAAATTGAATTCATCAAAGTGTATGTCTCATACCGTTCATCAGTATATAAGTACCTCTTTGTACACTACTTATTTCATTATTTGTCTGGTGTTGTTTAATTTCCTTACTTTCCAATATTTAATTTCTTTAGCTTCTTCTCCTTTGCAATAATTAAGTAGATCTTGGGAAGTTGATTGATCCACCTTGACTGACGAATCTGCTAGCTGCGGGTCAACTTATTCTTGAAATATTCTGAGGAGATGAATAATTAAGTTTGACGCGAGGGACTGGTAGATTGAGGGTTGGTTGGAACAAAGATTGGATAAACAATTAAGCTCTGTCTTGGTTTGTTCAGCTTGAAGGCGTTTATTGGGGAAAAAGATCTTAGGGGTTTTATCCACCTATGGGGAAAGTAAGCTATAAACATTAAATTTGTCTGAAATGCTAACTAAGGCTAAAACTGACTCAAAAATGTACATTAACCCTGGGTTAACTCATCCATATTTGGAAAAACCTGTTCCAGGCTTCATGCGTGGACTTACTAGCGTTTAATTTTCATATCTCCACGATTTTGTTATATTTAAAATCTTTTCTTTAATTTTTCAGAAAAAGCCACCGACCTTGCTTTTGTTATCGGCGCTTCTGAACCTCAAGCGTCTGCTGTCTTTGCAAGAATGGTAGCCATGTTGAATGACATTGTTGTTGAATATGAGATATCTAACGACAAAACACGTGTTGCACTGGTAGACTACAATGGTCCAGCGACAACCAGGGCCTTATTCAGCGACGGTTACAACAAAACCAACTTTAAAAGGATCGCAAGTAGCTTACCAGGACCCAGAGGTCGACCGGGGACACTTAGCGATGCTTTAAGCAAAGTACGAGATGAGGTGTTCACTCTTCAAAACGGCGCGCGGCCATTTGCAGAGGATGTTCTTGTTGTGATGACCCAGGGTAATTTTGAAGATAAATCTGCGGATATCAGGAACGAGGTCGCCAAATTGAGAAGCAATGCAATCAAGGTCGTGGTGGTTGCCTTCACGGACGAACCGGGCGTAGACAAATGGAACAACATCTCCTCGGGGAATAATCTCATTGTTATAACCAAGCCTGATAAAGATAAGAAGGAGGCCAAGAAACTGCCTTACACTGTTAGCAAAGGTACGTCATTTTATGCATAAAAGAGTGCTCTTAAAACATCTCCATTGCTGCTCGTGTATCTTTGGTTCTAAATCGAAAGGTCAAGAACCTTTTTTCTTAGGGCTCACGCAATTAATACTAGGCCAAGAAAAATTATTTTGACTATTTTTCAGGACTCATCTGAAATTTATTTAGTAACACCAATTATCTTAAATTTACATTCCTGTCAATTTTGGACAGTATTTCGCAGCTGTGCTGAAGTAAAAGCATCCGGGTATTCTTCTGATGGCCATTACCTCCTTCACATAAGCGACAGATGTAAAGATCCAACTAGAATCTACTGTCACAACATGGCGTCCAATGCGCCACAAGAGTATATCACCTTGGAGTCTGGTGCCGAGAACAACTTCGCTATTATCTATAATCAGCGGCTTAAGGATAGGTACAGTTGCAGTGGGCCTGCGCGAAGTGAGTTGTACGCTGAGCAAGGTTCAACGAACTTCTTCAAAGTGCGCCTTGATATCGCAAGCATGAAAATTATGAGTCGTGACTTCACTTTTGCGCTGACTGTAGAGGGTAAAGACATCCCGTATGGCACAGCAGGGGATTGTTACTCGGTGAACACTGGTAAATGTCGAAAGGGTCAGTTCAAGGTTGACTTGAGCGGGACAAGACTTCGAGTGCGGGATGATGTGAGCTGGACATTGCAGGGGTTCCCGAATGGTTTGCAGATTCAAGATTACCAGAAGTCGCTTGATGGTGCGGTGGTGTCTGCTAAGTGTGGAGGCTGGTGTGGTCGCTGTAAGCCGACCAGGGGATTTATATTAGTGGAGCCTTTATGTACTATTCCTGCAGGTAGGCAACAAGTTCAAATTGTATAATTTCCTCTTTTACAACTTTTTTTTACCCCTATTCCAGTCATAAAAACGGAAATGCCGTGATAGCTACGAGACACCTCATCCTGAACAAGCGAACCCCACTGACCTTTATAAGTGATACAAGAGCAGCTCAGCAATGGTTGGACAGCACTTAACATCATTAGTCCCTTCCCTAATGAGCAAACTTCAACGTAAACCAAAACAGTAACTGGCCAGATAGGGGCCGAGACGGCTCAATGGCAAGTGCTCTCGGTTCAAACCACTGTGGCCTGGGTTCGATTCTTGAACCCGTTATTCCATGAAAGTAGAATGTGTTGTTGTTAGTTCTCGTACGTGCTCAGAGGGCTTCCTGCGACCTCTCTTACTTGCCGTCTTTAATAAAACACTCCAAACTCCATTTTTGACGTGGAAACAATCCTTGAATGATTAGCTACTTCGTAGATGTGCCAACTTATATGTCATGGTGACAGAATAAAGTTTTAACCCCGCTGAGGGTAATGTGGCAGCGTTTTACTCACACAAATCTAAAACAAATTTGTTGTCTTCCAATTTCAGCGTGTCCATTCCCCATGGATGTGGTCTTTGCTTTGGACTCTTCGTCCGTGTTATCATTATCAGACTACATCCAGCAGAAGAACTTCGTTGTCACAATGATCAATGCTTTCACCATCTCCGTCGCCAGGACGCATGTGGGAGTCATTACTGTGGGAGAGACAGCTAGGAGGGACATTGAGCTTACACAGTACACCCAGTCTGAAATACTTAAATTCCGAGTGGCTGAACTAAATGCTATCAATGACTCTCCTTCAGATCGGACAATCAGGTTTACTGACATGCTCAAACAGGCGACAACGGCGTTTAAAAATGGAGCAAGGTCACAGGTAGGATCGTACCTATTTGTGCGTTTTACGCCACGAAAATTTTTCATCCCAATTTGATTTTGTCATTGTCGCCTTCATTTTGACCCTATCGACTGTTTTT